TAAAGCAGTCAGGAAGCAGTAAGAATGAGGTGTGACCACAAAGAAATAACTTTTTTTCCCCCCGTTTTTAATTTTGTTCTTCAGGGCTATTCCAAAAGAGGTTTTAAAAAGTGTTTTCAGGAATGGTGGTATCACGGGACTACGTATATAGCTTCTGGAAGAGATTGAGGGATCGTTTGTAGGTTATAAATGCCGAAGCACATTTATTTTGCAGTCATACTTAAGAGATTCACTGCTGAACTATTTTTTTTTTCACAATTTAATAAAATTTATGCTGCATATACTATGTGCCAGGCTCTGTACTAAGTACTTTACAAATACTTATTCCCCTAATCTTCCCTTAATCTTCATAACAGCCCTATTTTAATTATTATCCCCATTGGGCAGGTGAGGAAGGGGGGGGCACAGAGTGGTTGAGTAACCTGCCCAAGGTTATCCAGCTAGTGAATAGAGGAGTCTGACTCCAGGGTCAGGGCTCTGCACTGCTACGCTGTGTTGCTTCTACCCCTTGTTTCCAGGCTGAATGTCTTTAATTGGTTTCTTCTGGAAAAGATGGTCATTTTAATAAAAGGTTTCAGTTGTAAATTATACTGTTTACGGGACCAATAAACAGGTTGTAAAAGTAGCCTGTTAATTGGAAAAATTGGCGTCAACATTCAGTTTGCGTAAGATTCAGCAAGAAAATAGGAGATGCACGTGTGAAATAAAAACACACTAATAAGTGGTTTTGCTACTGTTACTTGGCGCTGAACTAAGGAGTTGGATAGGCAGGACACAAGAAATGGAGTTGGATACTGAAAAAGCCTCTCAGGAAACTCTGTTTATAACCCAAGTCATCAGGGAATGCTGATGGCAATATTGGTGATTGTGTTAAGAATGTGGCCGCATTTAAGCAACAAAAATCAGGAATAAATGGATACTTTATAGGACACCCAGAAGTGTAAACAGATTCCTTGGGGAACACAACTTAGAGCGACCTCACCCAGGAAAGTTTCACGTTGGGCATGTGCGTGATAAGCTGGCGGCAGTCCTGCTACAGATAGAGTTTGTTTGTAGAAGGATTGGCTCCATGTTAAATACATTCAAATAAATATTAGGTGCAAGGACGGCATCTGATAGTCACGAACTTCCGTAAGGACTCTGGGCCATGGACCACACGATCCCCCAGGAGCAGTTGCTGCCTAGTAACAGGAAGAGCCCTGAAAACTTCACAAGTATCCTACCTGTGAAGAAAATGTTGAAATACCGAAGAGGCTTGAGTCACCCAATTCCAGAAAGGCACACATGCCACCTAGACCAGGTGCAGAGCATGGCAGTGACGTCCCTGTGGGACCAAGATGGCTGCCAGGTGACTGTAAGCTACAAAGTATATAATCAGCAAATTAAGAATTTTCGACTTAAGATACTTAATTTAAAAATGTTGTATGTAGAGGTCAGGACCTTCTTATACTGTGTTTTCACTTCTCTGGAATTTTCACTTGCTTTTTTTCAAGATTTTATTTTTAAGTAATCTCTATCCCTAACAGGGGCTTGAACTCGCCACCCTGAGGTCAGCAATCACACAGCCTCCTGACTGAGCCAGCCAGGTGTACCCCTTGTGCTTTCATCACAAGCTCAGATGGATCTCGATTCCCAGGCTGCCTGTGACACGGGACTCCTCGTTTCCCCTGGAGTCACCCATGTGGCTGAACGGGGCCCGGCTTCATCTGGGGCCTTATCTTCCTTGCAGTCTTGAGTCGGAGCCGCTGTTCCTTGCACCCGGTGCTGCCCTGGTGTGGTTTTCTCCGCCTTCTGTAACTGTCTCAGGAAGTGTGTGGGAGGTCATCCTCCTGCGTTCTTGCAGGAGAAAAAAATTCTCTCATTGTCTGGATTACCTGTTTCCGCTCAGTTCAGTAGCTCCTAGGATTTTCTTGTGTTCCTGGGTCTTCTCATTTGTCTGGTGCTTCTCGGTTGTCCATTTCTATTAGAGACCGAAGGGCTGGACGGTGATTATTTTAGATAGCAAGTGTGTGGCTGTGGCTCCCAGGCTCTGCCCAGCGAGTTCCCTCTACCCCCGTTCTTTGGGGCGGAGCCTGTTTGGAGCTTGTACGGGGCTGTGGACGTGGCCTGGCGTGCGTCAGACTGGCCATGTCTAGCAGGCAGTGCTGGGTCTTACAGGCCTGATGGAGTACGTGGTGGTGCCCTGTGAGGCAGAAATAAACTGCTCACAAGTGTTTTTTTGCTTCCACTATTCCCGAAATAGGAATTTACGTCTTCATAAAGGAAAGCAGTACTTTAGAAAGTAGAGAGGGACTAATGAGAGGAAGAGTATAAGTCATTTCAAACATTTGTTGAATTTCTCCCATGTTCCCTTAAATAAGACACTGGTTCTGCCCTCAAGGAACCAGCTGGAGAGACTTCCCTTTCATTAAAAAAAAAATATTTCTTATTTGAGGGAAAGTAAGTAGCAACGAACTTTGCTTCTTGCGTGCCTGTGATCTTCCTAACATTTTACAAAGCCATAATTTATTGGAGTGTGTGTATCAGCATCTGAATATTTGAACTGCTCATAGATACGTGGTTGCCAGTGTTGGAAGGATGAGTGGAGGACCTGTACCCATGAGGTTCTTCAGGGCTGGATTCATAGATTTCAGATGGATTTCAATTTTGGGAAAGACCTTACGGAGAGCATTCAAGGGACACACTGATTGTTGCCTCACCTTGAGGTGCCGCTTCGTGCAGTGATTGTGTCTTGATCTGGATTGTTAATATGAAATCTGCCCCTTAACCTCCATGAGACAGGAGGCAGGAGTTCTCAAGAGTTGTTGAAACCACGGGGTGATACCTTCAGGGTTTTGGATATTCTTTTGAAGTACAAATACTTCTGTTCGACCAGCCTCACCCTCATTAACCCCTTACTACAAACTGTAGCTATAAATAAGATCACCCTACAACTGGGGACATGGAGTGCGAATGGGGATCTCTGATGATGTAAAATCGATCCGTAATATTTAGTAGTCACTGTGCAGACTTGAAGAGACCGGTCATCTGCTCCAGACTCTCATGAGAGGAGAAAACGGAGACCTTGAGGGGTTAAGCGGACGGCTTAAGGAGTTGAATGGCAGAATCGGAACCTGAGAGCCCAGTTCAGGCAGGCCTCCCCGTTCGTGAGGTTTCCATTTTCATGCGCTGTGGGCTCTCAGCGCATGTCCAAGAGTGGAGTGGTCCAGCCAAGGGAGGGCTGACGGCACTGGAGGGGGCCTGCCTGGGGTGCCAGGTACCCCTCCAGTACCTCACCTGACACGTAGCAGTAACTCAGTAAATGCTTGGAAGTACTTGTACTTCTCTGAGCCAGGCATTACGCCTGGTGCCATGAGGTGCGCAAAGCATGGTCAAGAATCCATCTCTTTTCAGAGAACTCAGACGGCTTGGTCATTTCGGGTAATTGGAAGATCGGCGAAGATGCCGAAAGTCAGAGAAGGTGGCGTGGTCCGGAAAGACTCGGCTCCGACAGAACGTGCCGGTCAGCCTCCAGCTAAGTGTGTTGAGTTACGCGTTTATATCACTCAGCGAGATATCACTCTCTTACCTCTTGGCACGCTTGCCCTGAAGCGGGAGTTTCTGGTCTGTGGCTTCTTGCTCAGCCTGTATGAGTAGCTTGTGCTGTGTGAACTCTGGGCTTCTCTTAATTTACTTTTAAAGCCGCTCGTTAGTTCTTGCTGCCGAGTGTGCATTAGGTGGATTTAATTTTGGTTTCGTTTAGCTGATGTCACTGAAAATCTATTGTGCAGACCTGGCCCTGGGTCGAAATAAGAATGATACACAGCTTGACGGGGACACAGGTTTCAGCAAGTGCTTTACCGTGTGGGAAGTCTGTCCGGGAAAGCAGTTGTGGGGTGTGATGTAACAAGAGCGTGGCAGATTTCAGTGCTGTCTGAGGGCAAGAAAGGCTTTCTGGAAAAGATGACAGCTAGGTTTTCAAGGACACATAGGAGCTTTCTAAATGCACTAGGAAGGGAGAGCCGTTCCAGGCGGAGGAAACAGCCAGGCCTGAAACAGAATGTCACGTTCAGACCGTTTTGATCAGTGTTGTTGGAACACAAAGTGTGATGCGTGGGAAGGGGGTTGTAGGAGGGAGGGCAGGCATTTTGCTCCAGGTATGAATGTAGAGTGAGCCCAGGGTCCGTGGCATTTCATTTTCTGGCCAGCCAATCGGGGTTTTTAGGTGGTCAGTCCAAATGTGATGTCACAGATATTCCACACCTCCCCCCTGCCCCCCGTGCTTTAGGAGAGCAACCAAGATGAGAGAGCATTAAAGTTGGGGATGAGTGAGCTCGTGGAGGAAGCTTTGGACTTCAGATAATTAAGTTTTTAGAACTGTAATAATAGTGAATTACTGAGAACGTGGTCCCTGACTTGCTAGCGCGTCACTGGGCGCAGGCTCTGCTAGGTCTCCTGAAGCGGTTGTGCGGCAAGGAGGGACACGCAGGAGGAGCGTCAGCTTGGACAGTGACCTTGTTTCTGTCACCTGATTCCCGGAAGACCGGCTGCTGGGGCCTGGGGTGTGGGACGGTCCTGTGGGGCCGGTTCACTGGGAGCTGGTACCTCTACCCAGAGTGCCCCACGTGCCTTTCCACCCGACCATGCTGCGGATCTCCTGTCCTGACGTTGTCCGTGGGCCTGGTGGGCCCTGAGGTTGGGGCAGTAAAGTGATTTATGTGTCTGACTTAGAGTCGTTATTTGCTCTCAGAACCTGTCGTGTTTACCTCCCTCCAGAATGCTGATTTAATGTCCCAGATTTTAGACTTTTAGATTCCTGTGTTCTCTCTTTGGAAATTTTTTCTTATTTCGTAGGATTTCATTTTTAACAGCTGTCATTTATTGACTGGTTGATTGTAAGCTCTCCGCGCAGTGCGGGGCTTGACATGCCCCGGAGGTCAAGAGCTGCCCCCTCCGCCGCCCAAGAGCCAGGTGCCCCTGTTCTCTGTTTAACGTCATAGGTTGTCTTTAATATTTCACAGGCTTTCTTGATCATGGATGGTGAAGATATACCAGATTTTTCAAGTTTAAAGGAGGAAACTGCCTACTGGAAGGAACTTTCCTTGAAGTATAAACAAAGGTAATGTTGGAAAGCATCCTGAAAATAGGGGAGGGCATTTAGAATATGCCATTTCTAGCCAATGTGTTTTATTTATTTATTTAAGCATAAAGCTGAATTTAGAGTTTCAGATTTAGGTTTGGGATTCTGGAAATAGTCATAGCATTGCTGTATTGAAATAGTATGAAAATGCATAAATCTTTATTACTCAAATTATTGTTATTATTTTAAAAAATATTTTATTTATTTATCTGGCAGATAGAGATCACAAGTAGGCAGTGAGGCAGGCACAGAGAGAGAGAGAAAGGAGGAAGCAGGCCCCCTGCCGAGCAGAGGGCCTGATGTAGGACTCGATCCCAGGACCCTGAGATCATGACCGGAACCGAAGGCAGAGGCTTTAACCCACTGAGCCACCCAGGCGCCCCTGTTACTCAGATTATTAAAACAATAAGAAAACTTCACGTTTGTGATTTCTTCTGGTCGTTAACCTCCTTTTGTGCTTACTGCATTTGGCCATCCTGGGCCTGCTGTGTGTGCCCTGATTCCACCGCCTTGTGCAGTCTTTGGAGATGCCAGTGGGCTGTGTGGGGCACGCACAGCAGTGTCTAGTTCTCTCCAGGCAAGCGTTGTCCGTGTCGGGAGCCAGCAGAGCTGGGAAGGGGGAGAGAAGAGTTTCACGGGTATGGAGCATTTTATAAAGTCTCACTTATTTTAATTAGTTGGGGAAGCTTTACATAATGACCTTTGAGCACCAACATTTGTCTTAGATTTCTTTTTAAAACATCCTCTAACATACACACATGTTTTCCTGCTTTTGTTTACAGAGCTTGTTATCAAACTTTTTACCACTGTTTCATTGTTATTGTTGAAGGCTGTTCCTGTATTGTGCCCATGGATCTAGAAGGCTCTGTCTGCAGCAAGAGTTCTTAATCTTTTTTATGCCATAGGTGCCTTAATAGGCTGGGGAAACCTGTGGACCCCTTCTCAGAATAACACTTTCAAATGGATAAAATTAAATAATAGAGGGGCTCCTGGGCGGCTCAGTCAGTTAAGTGTCCCACTCTTGGTTTCTGCTCTGGTCATGATCAGGTCATGGGAGTGAGCCCCGCGTTGGGCTCCGTGCTCAGCGGGGAGTCTGCCTGGGACTCTCTCCCTTCCTCTCTCTGCTCCTCCCCTCCTCACTGTGGGCACTCTTTCTCTTTCTCTCTCAAATAGAGAAAAATCTTAAAAAAAAAAAAAAAAAAGAATTACAAAGGAGAACAACTGTATTGAAAAACATTACCTAAATATTAAACTACTTTGTGGTGTATTGTATGTGCTGCTTTATTTATACCTTAAATAAGAAGGATCTAGTCGTGAGTATATAAAATGTGAGTCCTCTGGGCCTTTAAAAATTTTTTTAAATTTTTAAATTTTCTAAAAAGCCTTTATTTATTTGAGAGAGAACCCGAGAGAGCGAGCAGGAGCCGGGCAGAGGGAGCGGGACCAGCAGACCGCCTGGCTGAGCAAGGAGCCCAGCGTGGGGCTTGGTTCCAGGACTGTGACCTGAGCTGAAAGCAGACACTTAACCGACTGAGGTCCCCAGGGGCCCCCCTTTTGGGCCTTTTAACTCACTTTCACTGAACCCCCGAATACAGAGTCAGAGCTGCAGAACTGGTGGTCTTTACTGTGTAGTGTAGTTTACGGTGGTGCCGGCGCCCAGGCCGCATTCTTGAACTGGCGGTGATCATCTTTGGGCTGACTCTGCTTCCTGCTTTGACTCCTCGTTCCCACGTGATCTCTGATCAGCTTCCAGGAGGCTCGGGATGAGCTAGTGGAATTCCAGGAGGGGAGCAGGGAGCTGGAAGCAGAGCTGGAGGCACAGTTAGTACAGGCCGAGCAGAGGAACAGAGACCTGCAAGCTGACAACCAAAGACTGAAGTACGAAGTGGAAGCGTTGAAGGTAACCGGCGGGGGGAGCTGGGGTCTCGCGGGCCGCTCGCGGCAACCTGGGAAATAGAGCTCTTTTCTCGGCGGAGCCTCCAAGCGGCCTGTGGCGGGAAAGTAGCGGAGGCTCAAAGTCAAGTTTTGAAATTAACTTTCCTTTCATGGGACCAGAGACAGATGGCTTGGCGTTGAGGCGTTCACTTAGAAATTCTGTAGCTGTCCGTTTTTTAGCTACACTGCTGCTGTAGTATCGTATTGTAATTCCCATCGTTTTCAGAAGTGGCCCGGCTTGACAGATGGCCTCATTCCAGGTCACTTTAACATTGTATTTGTATGAAATACACGTTTGTTTCATTATTGTTCATAGTCTCTCTAGTTTTGAAGTTCAGTTGGGGTTAAAAAAAATTTCTTTTAAAAAAGGTATTTCCACGAGTGAAAAAATCAGGCCCGTTTGCTGCTGTTCAGCACCGGCCTTTGCCCAGCGCTTGAGCCATCTCTGGGCCCGGCGGAGCGCGGTCTGGGGGAAGGCGGGGAGCTGGGAGCCGTAGTTTGCTCGCGGGGTTCTGAGGGCAGCAGTCTCATGGTTGTACGTCTTTTCAGACACCGTTATTCGATTTCTTTTCTTTTTTTTTTTTTTTTTATGTTTGTGCTTTTTTTTTTTTTTTAAGATTTTATTTATTTATTTGACGGAGATCACAAGTAGGCATAGAGGCAGGCAGAGAGAGAGAAAGGAGGAAGCAGGCTCCCTGCTGAGCAGAGAGCTGGATGCGGGGCTTGATCCCAGGACTCTGGGAACATGACCTGAGCTGAAGGCAGAGGCTTTAACCCACTGAGCCACCCAGGTGCCCCCGGTATTCGATTTCTTTCTGAGAGGAGAGTTGTTGACTCTTGAGATTTGAGTTAAGATACTTGGAATGAATGTGGGTTTTTGGGTTTTTGTTTTGTTTTGTTTTTTCAGTTTTACATGTTATAAGGAGGAGAGGGCTACTTCTCCCATCAGCTCAGATGGGGGGTGAGTTCCTTGGGTCTCCCCCATGTCCGTGTCTTGGGTTACTTCTTTGCTAAGGAGAGCTGTGTTTAGTGATACCCTCGCCTTCCTGTGCCCGCACATCCAGGAGAAGCTAGAGCACCAGTACGCGCAGAGCTACAAACAGGTGTCGGTGCTGGAGGATGACCTGAGTCAGACCCGGGCCATAAAGGAGCAGCTGCACAAGTACGTGCGGGAGTTGGAACAGGCCAACGACGACCTGGAGCGCGCCAAGCGGTGAGCAGGGCCGGGCGTCCGGCTGGTGGCTGCGAGGCAGGTCTGGGTCTCTGCACTCGGCCTGTCCCCTGGGTCTTGGTTCTAGAACATCGCCTTTCGCGGTTTCACGCCCCATCATGTCAGCGCTCACCGCAAATCCTCATGTCCCCAGATTGGATCCTTTGAGGGCTTTCTTTCCCACTGCCCCGCCCCCCGTCGTTCCTGTTGGTTTTCCTCTGAAGCCTGTGTCCTCCGTTCCTCCATCTTTCCCTCCGTGTTCTCAGTCCTCCCATGCTTGTCATCCGCCCTGCGTCTGCTACCTGAAGTCTAGTTTCTTCCTCGCCCATCTGTCTGTCCATCCCTACTCCTCTCCCTTCTCTTGGCCTTTCACACCAGCACATGGGTTTTTCGCGGGTGCCGCTTCCCTCACGGTTGTACGGTGCGGTGTGGCCGGAGCGGCTCCCCTGGGGTTGGAATTTGTTGTTTCTTAACCATCCAAACTGAGATCCTTTCACTGTACGGTTATTGATATGTGGGTGACTCTTCAGTGCCTGGCCCGGTGCTAGAGGGGAGGCTGCCTTGGGTGTGACATGTGGGGATGTTTCTCATGACAACTGCTCCAGCAGGGAGTGCGTGCAGGCGGCTGCAGGGCGTGGAGGATGGAGCCGGGGGCGGAACACGTCGGCCGCTGGTGTTGCAGCTGCCACAGAGTAGGCAAGGAGGAAGGAGGCCAGGCTGGTATAGAGAGGGATGTGAAGGCCGGGAGGCAGGAAGGCTCGGGAGCTGGGCGTATTTCACTTTACAGCTCATGGAGACGGTGTGGCTGACCAGGATGAGGCCAGAGGGTGGTCGGGCCAGGGTGGGGAGAGCCTTGTGTGCTCTCTCCATTCTGGAGGCAAGGAAGGGCTCTTTGAAGAATTTGTTAAGCCTGGGAGTAGCATCAGATTCTGAGTTTCGAGAGGATCATGCTGAGGCATTGGAGGGAGGAGGACCATTTAGGAGCGATCCAGGGTCGGGGGGGGGGCGGTTGAGGAGCTAAGCCAGGGCAGGAGGTTGGAGGAGAGCAGGTGGAGTTGAGAGACCTTTCAACAGTTGAAAGCATTTGGTAAAGTTGGCCAGAGCCTTGAGTTCGAGCTGGAGGTCAGGGAATGATGTTTCTGTAGCAAGTAGCACATAGTAGGGTGGGGTGTGTAGTAGGTGCCCGGCACTGTCTGTTGTAAATGAGTAAGCTGAGGGATGCAGAAGGACGAGTTGGTAGGGACCTGGGACTTCGTGTTTTAAACAGATTCTTAGTTAATTCTTAATGTTCTCTAAAATTGTTGAAAAGTTTTCTTCCTGAAAACATGTAAACTTCAATTGTTCTGTGTTTAAAATCCAGTGGGGAGATACAGTGTGTAATAAACGCCTTCCTTTTAAGGAACTGCGATGAATTTTGGTGGGAATTTAAGAGCATATATTGAATGGCCCAGAGTAGTGGCAGAGATACGAAATGCTGCCAGAGTCTGGAAGGGACTGGGATCCATTCTCGTTCAACCCGGCCAGGCTTTCTAGGTCAGGAAATGCCATGAGAGAAACTGACAGTTTCCTTTTGTATTAGCTATTTGCATGCTATTTATTTAATTCGTGGACTTCAGTTTATTTTATTTTATTTTATTTTATTTTAGGGCAACAATAGTTTCACTGGAAGACTTTGAACAAAGGCTAAATCAGGCCATCGAACGCAATGCATTTTTAGAGAGCGAGCTTGACGAGAAGGAATCCTTGTTGGTGTCCGTCCAGCGGTTAAAGGATGAAGCAAGAGGTAAAATTGACAACTGAACGTTTATCCTTTACCTTACCATCCCTAAGCCCAAGGGCTATGCTAGCTCCAGGAACCGACTTTAAAGCTATGTACGTTATCTACTTTCGTCAAGCACTACGGCTAAGTGCTTTTTAGTGTCTTAATGTCTACAGTGTCAACTGTAAGACGTAGGTAGTATTATCCCCATTTTATAGGTCAGAAAACTGAGGCATGGAGAGTGTGAGTTTTGTCCAAAGTCTTAGAACTTTTTGGTTGTGGGGGACGCCTGGGTGGCTCAGTCAGTAAGTGTCTGCCTTCAGCTCAGGTCATGATTTTGGGGTGCTGGGACTGAGTCCCACATTGGGCTCCCTGCTTACTACGGAGTCTGCTTTTCCCTCTCCTTCTTCGCTCCTTCCTCTGCTCGTGCTCTCCCCCACCGCCCCCAAATTTAAAAAACAAACAAACAAACAAAAACTAAAAAAAAAAACCAAAAAAAACCCTTTTCAGTTGGAATTCAGACCCTGGTCTGTTTTCCAAAACCTTATTAACTGCTACCATTGTGTGTGTCTTGACTGGTTTGTTTAGCTTGTTCCTTTTCACGTCTATGTAAATAATTTTGTGTTAGGCACATAATAGTAACACTGTGTCTGTGCACTTATCGTAGAAACCATTTTCTTCTTTATAATCTGCATTTTACCACATACGAATGAAAGAAGGAGGGAAGAAGAATTTTACTCATTTATTTATTAAAATTTTGTTTATTTAGTTGAGAGAGATCGAGAGAGAGGCAGAGAGAGCACAAGCAGGGGGAGAGTTTGAGGGAGAGGGAGAAACAGAATCCCTGCCAAGCTGGGAGCCCAACCTGGGGCTCGATCCCAGGGCCTGGAGATCATGACCTGAGACAAAGGCAGATGCTTAATCATCTGAGCCACCCAGGCGCCCCAGGAAGAAGAATTTTAAAGGAGGGTGTATAATCATCATAGGTATAAATAGTGTGCAGCAGTCTATCTCTCCTCCCCCTCCTCCAACCCCTGGAAACACCATTCCCCTTTCTGTGTCTGTGAATCTGACGGCTCTAGGAACCTCGCAGACGTGGAGTTACACAGTATCTGGTCTCTTGTGACTGGCTCATTTTCACTTAGTGTAGTATCCCCGTGGCTCATCCGTGCGGTAGCTGGGGCCACAATGTCCTTCCTGTTTGAGGCTGAATAAGTTCCCATTACATGCATATACTGCATTTTCTTTATTTATCCATGGTAGACATTTGGATACATACCCAGAAATGGGGCAAGTTTGTATCCTTTTTTAACATGAGTGTTCTGTACATCAGTTGTGTAACTGGAAAAGAAAACGTTAATTTTAGCTTAAAAATTCAGTATTTGAAAGCAAGAAAAAAATTGCAACTGTTTTGAATACTTCCTTTCTAAAATGATATAGTGCATTTTGATAATAAAAAATACCATCCTGGGCACCTGGGTGGCTCAGTGGGTTAAGCCGCTGCCTTCGGTTCAGGTCATGATCTCGGTCGGGGTCCTGGGATCGAGTCCCACATTGGGTTCTCTGCTCAGCGGGGAGCCTGCTTCCCTCTCTCTCTCTCTGCCTGCCTCTCTGCCTACTTGTGATCTCTGTCTGTCAAATAAATAAATAAATAAAATATTTTATTAAAAAAAAATACCAACCCGTTTAAAATTACAAAAATGAACTTCATTGATTTTGCAGTAATCCCCAAAGTGGATATCATTTCAAAATAAAAACAAAAGCGGTGGAAAGAATATTTAGTTTTGTGTTGTGCAGGCTCACTGCGAGTTCTTTGGACTCTGCTCTTTTTTTTTTTTTTTTAAAACATATGAGCATAGTTAACTGTTGTAGTTAAGAGCATTTGTATTTGATCCTAGCTCTCTCAACGATCATTTAGGCAGTAGAGTTACCATTTTTATACCCCAACAAATAAAAAGTGTTACATAGGAAACCACTTTCAGGAAATCGTAATTTAGGAAGGACGTCTTTATGGCATTTCAGAGGTGACTTTGCTGGATGGATTTGCTTCCTCTGGTGAGTTTTGTTATCTGTGCCCCATTTTGCAGATTTAAGACAAGAACTGGCAGTCCGGGAAAGACAACAGGAGGTAACCAGAAAGTCGGCCCCCAGTTCTCCGACCCTTGATTGTGAAAAGATGGACTCTGCGGTCCAGGCGTCACTTTCTTTGCCAGCCACTCCTGTTGGCAAGGGCACGGAGAACAGTTTTCCTTCACCAAAAGGTTTGTGATGTCTTTTCTTTCTGAACCTGCGGGAGGTTGTCCAGCTGGGGAGGGTTTGCTGGGGAGGCGAGGTGAGGTGCATGTGAGGTTTCAGGGTAGAGTCGCTGTGCGCTGTGAGGTGGAAAGAGAAGTTGGTTTCTGGGGCCACAACCACACGGGGAGCAGGGCGACAGTGGCCCCGTGTAATGTGAGTGGCTCAGTCAGTTACGATGTTAAAAAGTTGAAGGTTTTCAGGCAAAGTTGATCTTTTGATGCTAGCAGTCATCCACACTCATGTCGGAAAATGGAAACAGAAGAAAGAAAGTGGCCTTTCTGCTGTCTTACCCTGGAAGCTGACTACTGTTAACCCTGACTCTCCCTGCCATGAGAACGAACCGATCTTGGGGACTAGACGCCTTCACACGCAGCCTACCAAGACTGGTCGAGCTGCCCTTCACACTCATAAGACTGGCCCAGGCAGACTAGGCCGTCCTCCTACACGCCCCCGTGGCTGCTGTTTTCAGAGGTGACATTTGGAGTCACTGATGACTAGTACATAAAGAATGTTCTTTTGCCATCAGCAAAGGTGTTTTTTAAAAATCTAGATAAGCAGAAAAGCCATTTAGCAGACACTGCATAGAACCCTAGAGAGGAACCCGGAAGCACTTAATTCAGATTTATTTCATTTTTCAGCTTATAGATGTTTCAGCCACTCCCACTCCTTCATACTTTTCTCTTCCCAAAAATGAAGCTCTCTTCCCCCCCCTTTTTTTTTTTAGAGATTTTAATTTGTTTATTTGACAGAGAGATCACAGATCACAGGCAGAGATCACAGGAGTGGGGGAAGCAGGCACCCTGCTGAGCAGAGAGCCCGATGCGGGGCTTGATCCCAGGACCCCGAGACCATGACCTGAGCCAAAGGCAGAGGCTTTAACCCACTGAACCACCTAGACACCCCACCCTCTTTTTTTAATAAAGGATTTTATCTTGCAGAATGATAGGAGAAGGTTTTGTCTCCAGGCAGATAGTGACCTTCTATGTCTGTTCCAGCCCACCCCGTAGCCACTAGCCACATGCGACTCTTTACATTTTTATTAATGTAATCGAGTTAAAATTGGAAATTCAGTTTCTCACTTGGATTAGCTGGAATACTGGTGCTTTGTAGCCCTTGAATAGATAACTCACCCTGCCTTCTCCTAGTCATAAGGTCTCATTCGGTGAGAAGTGTGGCAATGCTGTATAGTGCTGGGTGTTGCTGGGTGTCCTCGTGCTGTTTGTTGCTGAGGACCTAGAGGAGGTTGGGTGTAGATGATGGCAGTCACCAGCAGCCCTCACTGTCCATGTTTCAGAATGGCTCCTTGGGCATTTGAGGATCTCAGAATTCCTAACATTTGAGATTTAACGAAGGTTTGCTTTTAGACGCTAATTAGAATTCTGCAGGTAAGTTCTGAAAATGCGTTACTTAAGCACGAATCAGGATAGTGTGGAGCTTCAGTCGAGGTTAAATCCCAGAGACGTGTACATCCTGTAATAGCTCATTAGAGGTTTAATTCAGGGACTTGGTTGCGCTGAGCCGGGCGAGGTCAGTGGGACGCAGAGCTTGCTCGCTGTGGCACAGGATTAAGATACGTCAGCCCTAAGGCTGGAATCTTGGTCCTGGCAGACGCAGTTTTAGCCGGTGGCAAGGACTTTCACTAACCTGAGAGCTACTGTGTGTTGGCTCCCGGCAGCTGCGTGATGGAGAAGGCGGCACAGAGCTAAGGAGAAGCAGGAGATGAGAGGTCACTGCGAGACCGAGGGGCTGAGCTCGGTGGTCTGCCTGTAACTGCGTTTCATTGGTAACAGCGCCTGTTGCCAAAAAGCATTTAAGACAACTCACCATAAAAGCACAGATTTCATAATTTGAGGAGAATAAGGGAAGAAGAGATCTGGAAGTCCCTGCTGAGAAAAGTATGGCAGCTTCTTCCTATCCCGTCGAGCGCTGGTCGGATGCCGCATGTTATTCTGGATGCCGAGGGGCTCCTGGTAAATCGGTGAAGGCGCTGCCTTCAGGGTGATGATACTCTGGAGGCCAGGGACAGCGAACGGCCGCACAGCAAAGCTACTACGAGCTGATGAGACTCTGGACAGTGGATGAGAGAGTAATAGCTGCGTGAGGGCTTGAGTACTTAGAGTGTGCTAGGCATTTAACGAGTGTATTAACTAATTTAAACTTCACAACGACTTCATAAGTGCTGTTATCAGCCCTCTTCAAAGTGTGGGCCACTTACTAAGGCTCCCACAGTCTGTAGCCATCAGCGGTGGATTTGCCTCTCGAAGTTTAGCTCAAGAGCCCTTACCCATCGTGTACAGTACCTCAAAAGTAAATTGAAAAATGTGCGTGACCGAGAACCTTTGCTGAGGGGCGTTCAAAAAGATGTGACTGTCACACTGGAGAACCCCGATTTTGAACGGGAAGCCTCTTACAGCAGCCGTTGTCCCTGAATCAGTCAGCAATTTAAATTTCTTTTTAATTTAATTTAATTTTTATTTGTTTTTAGCAATTTAAATTTCTAATAAAAGTCAACACAGGGTTTTTTAAGTTGGCAAGTTTTAAAGTTACACTGAAGAATAAATGTGCCAAGGAAAGTTTGGATTAGCTTAATAACAAGAAGCTTTCTCCTTTAGGATACCACAGGCTATTTTAACATTGTAGCAATGAAAGCAGCCTATTTCCAGTGGGACAAACTAATAGTTTAATGGAACTAAAGTATAATGGAAATTCATGTAGGTAAAGTGTCATTTCAGCTGAGAAGAGTGTTCACGACATGGTATTAGTACAATTGGTTATCCTTTTGGGTGAAAAAAGAATTAGGTATTTGTTGAATTAAAAGGATCTAACTGTAAAAAAAAAAACCTAGGAAAGCATTAGGAGGAGAAAGGAGCAACATTTTATAATATTGAGGTGAAGAAGCCAAAACTTCCCCCACTTGTAGAGCAGAAAGTTTGAAAGGTAAATGCCATGCTGAGAAATTCAAGATCGAGGAGAGAAAGGGGGGCCATCTGTGGTGTCCAGTGCCCTAGCCCATCGATTGAAGGAAAGACAACCCAGTACCAAATCATAAATCATAAACATGATTTCCAGAAGAGATTCAAATTTCTAGTTATTAAGGAAACAAAAGAGAAAACAAAATGTCAAATTGACCAAAGAAAAAAAAAGATCACATCTAATATTATTGAGGGCATCGCCGTACAGATCACTGACATTGGTATGACCTTATCAGCGTTTTGGCAGGATCTCTTAAGGTGGATGAAAGGGCCATATCCTCTGGTCCAGCAGTTCTATTTTTAGGAATCTCTTCTCTGGAAATATCCGTCTAGATGTTTTAACGATATGTGCCCTTTTAGCGTTATTCGTGATGTAAAATTGGAGATCGTCTCAATAGCCATCAGTTGAAGGAGACAGTGTATGGTGTCTCCGTTTTATAGCTCGTGTCCCCAGTTTGGAACACCGTATCGACCTGTCACTGAGTGTATCCTGCTCAGGGACACCTGACCACAAAAGGGAAAGACGCCTGCAAGCGTAATCACCCCCCTTTCCTTTCCCTCTAGCTATACCAAACGGTTTTGGTGCCAGTCCGCTTACTCCTTCTGCTCGGATCTCCGCGCTCAACATCGTGGGGGACCTCTTACGGAAAGTTGGGGTGAGTATTCAGCCCTTTAGCCCGAGGTACTGCCCTGGTGTTGAATTCTGAATTTGGGGCGAGAGAAGGAGAAAAAGGGTTCCTTCGTGTGGGGAAGGCTGTGATGATTCAGAGAGGCAGGAGCGTGCAGGGATCCGCTGAGATGGCGGCAGACAAACACGCCAGGGCGCCTGCGGGAGGCCCGGTGCGCTGCGCTCTGGAGATCCCCGGGGCTTTCTTTGGTTTCCCCTTGGCTCTTTCTGCCTCATGACTCCTCCGTCTTTTCCCAAGGTAACTGTTCTCCAGCCTGCTGTGTGTTTTATCCCATTTTTGGGTCCTGTTCTTGCTGTAGGTCGCCCTCTGCGTGGCCTCCCCGTGAGCTCTGTCCCCGGAGGACTTCAGCACTGGCCCCGGACAGGACTTTGTGCTCTTGGTCACGCCCGTCTCCTCGCTCTTGGCCGCTTCAGCTTCTGTGCTATCTCCTTGGCTCTGACCTTGGCTTCCAACTGAGCTTTTGAAGTCTTCCGCTTGTTTTTCTGCTTATTCAGTTTTTGCTTGGTAGAATGCCTGCTCTTTGACCCCATCAGCAGTGGGACTCTGGGTGAATGAGTGAAAGCCATTCTTGCTTTCATTTCTTCCTGCTCCTTGGTGACCCTGCATATGGCTTCCTCTGTCACTGCCGACTCATGGTCTTTTTGGCCGAGGAGGAGACCTGCGGTCCGGGTCAGTCTGGCCATCGGCGTTCGCCTTCCCTGAATCTGGATCTCAGGAAGCAGTTAGATAACTGGGGATTCATGCCACCGTGAAGTTAGCATCTCGTGCGTGGGCTCCCTTTCCTGTTTCCCTGGGCAACTTTTACCTCTCTTCCCCTGAAATCTTCCCCTGAAACTGCCCACTGTCCACCGCCCCTTCACTTACTTGTTTGTGAGAGACATGTTCTGACAAAAGCAGAGATTGGATTTTACTTTACATAATGAAGAAATGGGAGGCCTTTTCTGGCTTATAAAATTATTTTCTGACCATCACATTAATTCCGAATCTGTGTTTCAAATTTGCTATAAAAAGCAACATGCACAAAGTCCATAGAGTAATTTTCCCTCCTAGCATAACCATTTTTAAAAACCTATTTGTTGTAAGAGTTGTGGTATTTGGCTCCAGAAATGAAAATAATGTGCTTATTTTTTGGTATCTTACCAACTTCAAGCAGTAAGATGAAGAGTTTAACTCCCATCTCCCACTTTTTAACTTTGTTCTTTTGGTAATTTTGAAACTTTAAATGGCATGCTTAATCCTGTTTCTGAGTTTATTAGACCGTATCTCAGCTCCTTGCTGCATGTGTCTTTCTCTCTGTCCTGTCATGAACGCTCCATTAGTTGGTTCTGAAAATTGAAAATCAGTGAGCTGCTTCTACGGTACTCCGCCCATGTGTGGGTTGTACGCTGCAGAATCACAGAGGAGAGCCTGAGCTCCTGGGTCGTTTATCTCTGTCACTCAGCAGATGTTTCAGGGATTTTTTTAATCATTTACTCACTCAGAACCATACCACGTGTTTTCATTTTTGTATCAGAGCTGACTTGTATGTTTTTTCCTTCTCTTGGCGTTGTTACTTACCTTCTTTTTCTTGGGGGGTAGAAGAAGCCTGTCCTTTCTCGGCTACGTCTCATGTCTGTAGCTTCTTACCGATGCCCTCTTTCCTGGGTGCCCTGAGGGGCGCTGCCCCAGTTCTCTTCCTGGGCTACTTCTGCCTGTTCCCGGGCTTCATGTCCGCAGCAGCTTTCTCTGGTCCTTGTTTGTTTTGCTTATGATGTTACATAATTTACATAGTTTGTTCAGAAATGGTGCAGAAAGGTGACCTTGGGAGTCCCCGTCTGGCTGATGGTCCACCTTCCGAGAGGCCGCTGGGACCTCGGGTGTGCGGTTCCCCGCCCGCCCCTTGTGCTCTTTGGAGTTTCCCTCCCTGCTTCTCTGTCCCCCTCCGTCCGCTGCCTCAAGCTGGAGGCTCCAGCCCCCGCCCTGCATCCTCTTGCACTGAGAAATCAAGGCCACCTGATCTCCACCTGTCTGTTCTCTTTGACTTCTGTTATCACTCTCCTGTTAGTACCTGTTTGTAGTCGTTCTTCCTTGTTACCGTGGTGCTCCAAGGACCACGTTCCTGCCCACGGCTGACTTTGTCCCTCTGTGCCTTGGATCCCTTCCCTCCCCACCCTCTCATCAGTGTCTCCTGTGCTTTTAGCCTCTTACTGTGTTTCAGTATCTGTGTGTAATCTTCATGGATTGCCACGTGTCACATGTAATATCTGTGTATTATAAACTGCATAATTTTTTAATCTTAAAAAGCGAAAGTAAAAAGCAGCCATTTTTTTTTTTTTTACCCTACATCTGTCTTTAGCTGTCACCCTCGTTCTCTCTTCCCTTCACAGCCAAGCTTTTCGAAAGCAGGCCTCTGTTTATTGTTAGCGTGGGTGATGGCGTGCCCCCTCCCCAGACATCCTGGTCCGGACTCTGATTCCTGCTCCCTCCCCCAGAATCGCTCATCGATGAGCTCAGCACCGTCGAACCCAGTGGACGCTGTTCTGCCCTACTTTTGCTTGGAACATTCAACACTGGCTTTTTTTTTTTTTTTTTTTTTTTTTTTTTTAATGCTTTCTTTCCTTTGCCTTTCTGATGCTGTGTCACGTCTGCCTCCTGCCTTTCTGCCCATTCCTCTGTCATCTCATTGGGTCTTCATCTGCCGCACCCTTCCCGGGTTGATTTTATTCAGAATTCTGTCCTTGAATTCCCCATTCACAGCCTGACTTTGTCTGCTGCCTGGTGTGACATCTTCTAAGTTTTCATTTCTAGACCACGCTCACTCTTTTCCCCAGTGCCAGACTCAGGACTTGCCCTTGCGCGTCTATCCCACTGAGGCCTCAGACGCAGTTTGGGCCTGCTCTGTGATCACGCTCAGCAAGTATTTGAATGAATGAATGTCGTGAATAAGGATGTTAGGGGCTTTCTAATAGTCCCCAACTCAGAAAGGGTCAGGAGACCTGGATTTGTCTACTTGTGCCACATTTTGCTTAGTTGTAAGGTCAGGCTTATATCTGTGTTCGCCAGTAATACTGAGAGGAGTAAGTGCCTTGTTCTGAGGTCATTAGATAGCCGTCAGCATAAAATTCCCCCTTTGCATCAGAGAGGTGATCGATTGTGGCTTTAACGGCTACCATGATCAACAGAAAGACTGTAATTTTAATCTTGAAATAGAAATGGTTTGAAATGCAGATTTTTGTGTGCAGCTACTGTTTTGACAACCAAGTCATTCCTCCTCCTCTCTGTAGGCTTTAGAATCCAAATTAGCAGCTTGCAGGAATTTTGCAAAGGACCAAGCATCGCGGAAATCCTATATTTCAGGGAATGCTAACTGTGGGGTCGTGAATAGTAACGGCACGAAGTTCTCTCGATCAGGACATACGTCTTTCTTTGACAAAGGGTAAGTAAATCTTGGACATTTTATTTATTATTTATTCTTTATTTTTAAGATTTTATTTATTTGACAGATGGAGATCACAAGTAGGCAGAGAGGCAGGCAGAGAGAGGGGAAAGCAAGCTCCCGGCTGAGCAGAGAGCCCGATGCGGGGCTTGGTTCCCAGGACCCTGAGATCATGACCTGAGCTGAAGGCAGAGGCTTTAACCCACTGAGCCACCCAGGCGCCCCAATCTTGGACATTTTAAATGATTTTTTTTTTTTTTTTTTTGAGTTAGTAAAGTCGCACTTTATTAAGTGAGCTTATTTTACTTTGAAAAGGTAAACTCAGTTTGATAAGCCTACCTGAAGCAGTTTCATTCAGGTCTTAGGGGACATAAATCTGTTGTCGTCTTCTGGTCCCCGTGGAGTCGGTTGCCCCGAGAACTCTCATGCTTCTGTCTTGGGAAACACCCTTGCAAGGTAGCTGTGCTAGGCTCTGGGAATTAAAGACGACGTGGTAATAGTTCTTGTTCTCAAGGCGCTTGAAGGCTGGTGGACTTGCCTGGCTGATATTTGTAAGGGTAGAAAACACCGTGTGTGTGTAGACTCTGCAAGGCACCTGCTGTCTGAGGATTTTGGAAAAATATGAAACCACTGGATCAGATAACAGTTTAGGGGACACAAGTTTTGTATGATGTGAAGATGTTTTCTGGGGAGTTGAGAGTGTAAAAAAAAATGGCATAAGATTGAAGCACTGGTACGTCCTTAATGCAAAAAAATTTCAGTTGGTGCCGCTGTGTAGAAGTGAAGAGTAGATGTTTTCTGTTTTCACACTACTACATCCTTACACTTACTCTCTCAGGCAGTTTTTCGCATCTGCTATACGCTTTTAAAAATTTATGAGGTCTGGACTTTAAATACGACTCTGCAACCCAGCCCCCATCATGACTTACAGGCCAGTATCTTCCTGTCCGTGCAGCGTTCTCCCTCAAGTCCAAAAATGACACTGCATGGTTATACTTGATTGAAAGCTGTCCTGTAGCTAACGAGCGGTCAGGACCCGTGGTTTGGCTCTGCTGACCAGGTTCCACGAGGTGGCTATTCTTGGAACAGCATCGAGGCACTGAGCTCCCTTGCTCCAGTCTCTGTTTCGAGTGGTAGAGCCCATCTGGTCCTGTTCTCTGCACGCAGGACAGATACGAGTCTAGAGAAGTTTCAGTTTCTTAAGGGAGCTTGTATTTTCTGCTTTCCTCTGTAACCGTGGCACATTTCTGGAGGACTTGACCTGGCACACTGGCCGCTCTGAAAAGCTTCTTTATGTCCGCCCTTGTGGAGTGCGGTGTTCTGGTTTCCCTCTCTCCCTTCAGGGACTTCTACCCTGAAGGGCACATGCTTCATTAAGGAGCATGTTCCAAACTGGCGATAAGTAAGTCAGAGCTTCATTCTAACCACTGGGTTTCCTCGGGGGAGTCAGCATAAAATCAGTTTTCCTTAGGTTTAGGAGTTTCGGGAAACCTTGAGGAGTCCCCATCTTTATATCGTAATGGCAAGTGGAATAAATAGATATTTCACATTCAAGTTGCCATTTCTCCCGAATAACACAGGGAAAGTTGAGGGGCAGACGAGCATTGAAAACAGTACCTAATTATTTTGTCCAACTTGTACTTTGTGTGACGTCTAACTCACCTCCAGTGGGGCAGTTACGGGTCTGTTTCTGGAACCCTGTTTCTTGCCTCGGGTGCTCTGTAACATGAGAATGGGCAGGAACCAGAAACGGGGGGCCGGGCCGATGCCTCTCCCGCAGTCCTCAGAGCAGTCATGGTGGGAAGGGACCGCTCTCCGGGCAGGTCCCTGCTCCTGGCTTCCACGTGGCCCCAGTGCGGGGCACCGGGGCGTGCCAGGCCCAGAGTTGGACCCCATCTCAGGGGGCTGCGGAGGGCGCAGGATCGCCCGGAACCAGGAGCTTTGGCCTCTGTCACGGAGTGCCTGTCCCCTGAGGAACATTGTAGATGCGCGCGCAGGCTTTATTTCCTGAACCCGGCCTGGAGACGGGCTTCCTGAGAGAAACAGTTGCAGATGATACATCTAGTTTCGCTTGAAGTAGTACAAGTTTTCAACTGTACTGTTTCTGTTAAGGATTAAATATGCTTTTGTGGGCTGACCTCTTCTCACGGGTTCGGGTCGCAGCGGAGCGGATCGTATGTCCTCGCTCCAGCGTTGACCTGCTTCGTGAGCCACGTGTCCGGTTGCCACGTGCCCGAGGCTGGCTAGTGGCTTCGCGTGTCTGTGCCTCCTTGCCGCTTTGCTTTGATTCTGGCTTCCTTCTGGCCTGGCTTTGAACTCTGGCCTTTCTCCCCAGTGGCCTGCTGACTAGATAGTCACGGCGGCGTGCACCAGCTGCGACAGGAAGCGGGGGAGCGTCCCAGCCCCCACCTCCCTTATGGAGTCTGGCAGGTAGAAGTCAAAACACCATTTCCAGGTGTCCAAGCGTGTAGCTTGGAGTTGTAGCGTGAGAGAAAACTCCATTTTCAAAAGCCTCCAGCGGGAACTTGCCCGCCCTGCCTCCTGCTCCCGAGGAGTGTGTCTGCGGTCCCTGTGTCTTCCCCAGCTGTCCTAGAGACCTGGGTTGGGGTGCTCCTTGGGGGAGATGTGCCCCCTCAGGTCCTGTGACGCCCCGAGGCCAGACCTTGCCCACCAGATGCTGCTCCTCAGTAGGTGTCCGCACGTGTGGCCCGAAAACACTCTGGATGTTCTGGTGGTTTGAGGGCTTCCTGCAAACAGGGTTTCCTCTAGTCTCTGCTGGCTTCTGTCAGGTTCTGGACCTCCTTCTTGGCATTGCTCCATGTCCTCCAACCACCAACAGCCTCTCGTGCTCGTCATCTGAGCCCCGCATGTGGTGTGGTCACTGGACTTCTCTCAGACCCCGTCTGTTTTCTCTGTCATTTTCATTCAGCCTCTTAAGTGTCCCTTACCCTGATTTTGTAAGCAAGTGAGGTCTCGGTGGGGCTGTGTGTAGTGGGGGCGTAGACCAATTTTAGGGCAGGCTGTGATAGGACTTGTATTACTGTTTAATGTTTTTTCCTTTTTTTTATTAGGCAAGAAAAGGTCATATTTCCCACGTTGTTCATGGGTAACTGAATTTGTTTGCTGTGCTCTTTCTGCTTCTCTCTCCATCCCGGTGTGTGGTGCAGGACCCACTAACACACTCATTTCACTAACGCATGGGGCTGACTCTGCTCTAACCGACTTACAGCCCCAGAGTGAGCGCTCAGGCTCCGGTCCGAGCCCGCTCCCTGCCCTTGCTGCTGCTTCAGCCGCGCACCTCAGAGGCAGCTCGTGGTCTCAGGCCCCGGGCAGGGTCGGAGCGGGGGGTGGCGTAGCTAGCCGGCCTGGCAGTGCTCCTGGTCCGGGGTCAGCGCTGTAGCGGTGACACTGCCGGGGGTCCTGGCGTGGGGGTCGTGCGTTGCTGTCAGGCCCCGGAATCCCATTTGGCTTGACATCCTGGGAGACGGGGCTTCTTCCTGCTGCCCAGAGTCTTCTGTTTGGTCAAGGTGGGCGCCGGTGGTAATGGAGCCTCACCGCCCCTCGGGGACTCTGCCCTCCTGCTCACTCTTGGATGCCCTGCGTACAACGGGACGGTAGAGGGAGACGTGTGTGCACGTGTGTGTGTGAGATCTGCCCTTCCAGGAGTGCGCATTTCCGTCTGCAGCACGGGCTGGAGCTTGTCTGAGCATCTGCTGCTCCATCTCCCTAGGCCGGCGGGCCGGGTGGGGCTCTGCCTGCGCTCCCCACGCCTGCTCTGACCTTCTCGCGTCCTGTCTGGGCCGCACGCGGCTGCACTGGCCCTTGCTGCCGGGCGGGATCTCGTCTCCATGCCCTGCTCCGGCACCGAGGCTTCCTGTCCCACTGACAGCTCTGTCCCGCTCTCCACGTCGTCTGCCGTGTCACATAGACCGCAGGCCCTGTGCGTGGCTAGATCTGCTACTTTTCAGACTCTTGAGGTAGATTTTGGTGGTAAGATGATGACATTTCTGGAAGCTTCCTGCATAGATGATTCCCCAGATCTGTCTCTCCCTTCCTGCACGTTCCCCCCTCCACTCAGTCCCGTGTCGTCCACCGGGACATTTCCCTGTGGCTCTCTTACTGTCCCCTGCAGCACATGGGGGGAGTGTGGCGGTGTTGCTCCTCTGGAACCCTTTCCCCGTGGCACAGCTTGGCTTTTGCGGGAAGGGACCTCACCAGACAGCTTTTCCCTCTGGCCTTTCCCGTCTCACTCCTCGCCTCAGGACACAGGTGCTGGGTGCGAGCCTGGTGGGTTTTGCTCCCCGGGCTGCATCTGGCGTTCACTTCAGGAATTCTCATTTCGGTCCACGCGGGGAAATGGCCCGTTGAGTTTCTTTTCTCCTTTTCTCTGCTGGTCGGCGCTGCTGTTTGTCCCCTTAGAGCCGAGCCGCGTCAGAGTTGCCGCAGGAGTTGCGGCTTGTGGAGGGCTGTCAGGTGTCCTCCTGCGGGAGGAGCCTGGGAAGGGAGAGTGGGGCCTGGGCGCCCACTGACTCGCTTGGAGGTGAGCCCAGGCTGGCATTTGCTTGCTTTGCTCTCTTCGGCCGCAGAGCGATAGGGGTGAGCTTACCGTGTGTTCAGGTCTGTCCGGCTCGAGACTGCGGGGGTCCCAGCCCCAAAATCTGCGTGCGTGGGTCCTTCTCATGGGGCTCTCGCATCCCCTGTGGATGGGTGCCGGCTGCTTCCTGGTGCCAGTGGGGCTCGTCCTGCCGGCCAGAGTGTGACGTCCGTGTGTCTGAGGCCGAGGCTGTGCGTGAGGCCCGCCTGGTTCTCGCTGAGGTTCTGGGACTGGCCAGACGCATGGTGGCCGGGGGCTGGTGCTGTGAAGGCCGCAGGGGGGTGCGGGCATGGGCCGGCCCTGGGAAGAGGCCCAGGCGGCTGTGGGAGGACAGGGAGCAGGTGATTGAAAGGCCCAGAAAGAAAAGGGAGGGTCCTGGGTGCACATCTCGGGGAGGAAGTTGTGCAGCAAGAAGTCACGTGCCTGCGGGCTGTCCTGTTGCTCTTGGCCTGTGCGGGGTGGCTTGTTTTCAGACTCACTTCTGTACTCCGGGGTCATTTACTTCGGACGTTAGCCCTTCGACGTCGTCAGCTGGTTCTTCGTCTCCCTGCATGCCGGTTCTCTGAGGTCACACTTACTTCCGTAGCGCGTGAAAGCATTGTCTTTGTGGGGAATGTGTGTCTGCACCCCCGTCCCCCTTTTGGTTTGGTTTGTCTTTTAAGAGAACCTCTCTCCTTGAGCCTGTACTCAAGGTCCTGGCCCCTGCTGCTGAGCAGGTGGGGGGACAGCGATGGCCTGTGGGTTCGGCACAGCCCCCACAGTTGCCCGCACCTCCTGTATTGCTGCCAGGACGAACCTTCCTGGGAAGGGTGATGCATGGAAGGCTGGAGTGGCTTCCTGAGAGTGGGTCCAACACTGGCTTTCCCTCTGCTTCTGGTGGCTGTGTGGGCTGGCAGGGGGCGGGGGTGCTGGGGCGGGGCTGGTGGGCGGGGCTGGGGGGTGGCCGGGGCCTGAGGGTGGCCCGGATGCTCATCCTCGCTCCTGCACGCTGGGGCCGGGTTGCGGGCTCTGGGCTGGGTGGGGGCCGGCGGGGCGGGCCCCTCATGTCCACAGACACACCGCCCATATTGCCAAACAACTTAACAGAGTTATTTTTCTCCCCTTTATTAAGATTTTCATGTACATTGTAGGAGATTTGGAAAACAATAAAAAAGTGGAAAGTAGTAAACAAAATTATCCACCACCCAGATGGAGGAAAAGTAATCATCGTTAAATTTTCTTTCTAGAACATAAATGATTTTATACATATGTATGTGCATGTGTGTGTGTAGCTCCCACATTCTGGATTCAGCTACACAGAAGTAAGGTCCATAAAAGAGGTTGTATGTTAGAGTCTAGAATGTCTGTCACTTACTCTTCCTGCCCGGCATTGAACCTATACAGTTTGGTGACTTGCTGCTTTTCCCACGTAGCATCAGTTACATTCTGAGTATTTTCCCGAGCGGTTAAAGAACTCTGTGGAGTGTGTTGAATGGCTGTGTAAACTGTAAACTTCTCGTTTAGTTGTACCAGTATTTATTCAGACAGTTCCCTTCAGACATTTAGGATAGCTCTGCGGGGGCAAGTCAGGGCTGGGGTGGCGGCGGCCGGTAGGACGGAATCGTCGAGGAGGAAGCACGTGAGCGCGTTGCTCTCCGTCCTCCGATTCCAAAGTCTCTGACCCGCTGATGCCTTCCAGGCGCCACCGTTCCCGGGGCCGCCGTGATTCCACCCTGGGCAGGAAGAGGGCTGGTTATAGAGAGCAGGTGCATTTCTTGTTGTGTGTCGAGTGATTTTAAATGACCGTCTCTCTCTTTCTCTCTTTTCTCCTCTCCCTTCCCCTCTCTGCTCTGGTCAACCCCACAGGGCAGTAAACGGCTTTGACCCAGCGCCGCCACCTCCTGGTCTGGGCTCCTCGCGCCCGTCGTCAGCACCGGGTATGCTGCCTCTCAGTGTTTGAGTGCCCGGCCTCCAGGTGGGGGCTCCTGCCCTCCTCCAGCAGCCCAGGACACCCACGCCTCACCCCTCGGTGCCTGGGCCCAGCCTGGGCCCCTGCGTCCGCCTCCCCGTGGCCGGCAGAGGGCAGGCTGCATGTGGTGGCGGCTGCCGGGCCCCGCCCAGCCCCAGGAGTCTGCGCGCTATCAATGCTGGCTATTTTCTCTTCTCGCCGTGGTGCCGTTGGTTTCACATGATTGCACTTTTGTGGGTCACAAGGTGATACGTACGTGTATTCCTTGGTCACTGGATGCAGAAGTACCCATTCGTCACACCTGCCTCATAGCTCCCACCCTGCTGTACCGATAGGATTTAGTTGTGTTTAAGACATGGCAGACCTTCTAGAAGTTCTCCCCCAGATCAGGTCAACACGTGCCCTCCTCCTGAGCTCCCGCCCAAGCATCTTCAGTGCTCACGATCATGTGTCCCCCAGCCCCACTCCCCACAGTTTGGCCTGTTGCTGGCACAGAGTCAGGAAGGTCACTGAATTCGGGAACATTTTCTGCACCTTCTGATTTTACTTTAGCAGTTACCATTCCATAGACTTGCCTCCCGGAGAGCGAGACGCCTGTCTGATCCGCAGGGAGCAGGAGCCTCTGGGCCAGGGTGCCCACAGCGCGGGGCCTCTGCGCGGTCTCCTCCTCCGCGTGGCTCCGGGTGAGGGTCGGGGCAACCTCCTGGCCAGCTTTCTGGTCCTTCAGTTAAGTGACATCTTTCAGAGCGTTTTGTTTTGTCCTCTGAGGGTCCGTGCGGTCGTGTTAGGAAAGGTCGCGCGCCCGAGTCGGGGCAGACCGGCCGCCGTGGTGGTTCTGTGCGTCCTTTGGTTCCTCTCATGCTGCATTACTGTTTACATTTGTGTTACTGTACATAGGTTTGTAAACATTACCGCCCGAGGTATTTGTATATAACCTGGGCTTTGTAGCTTTTATTTATTCAGAATTCATATGGCATGTTAACGACTGACGCCGTCCGACTCGGGCGGCCGCATAGGATCATCATGTGGTTAAAAGAGAAAAATACTTCCCCTCAAAAAAATCTTTTAATGTGGAAACAATAAATTTCACAGAAAACAAAGGATCGAGGTTGCTTTCTTGGGTTCCCGCCCGCCTGCCGAAGACGCGGAGTTCCCGAGCTGGGTTCGGAGCCGGCGTCGTGTTCCCGCACCGGAGGAGTGGGCGCTCGGTGGCCGCGAGCCGGGGCAAGGAAAAGCCTGGCGGCCTCGTGAGGAGTCGTCTCACAGCCCAAACGGGCGTTCTCGGCCTGACTCCTGGGGCTGGTCTCTGCCCGTAGCCGTGATGCCCGGGAGGGCCCTGCGGGGCGGGCGGGGAGGAGGGGCTCGGCCGTGGAGGGGCGCCGTGTGCTAGGTCATGGGTCCGGGGCCTGGCTGTGCCGCCTTTCCCCATGCGTGTCTGCACGTTGGGACCGGCCATCCCTTGGGTCTCGGCTTCTGTCCTCCCTCAGGTTGGTGTTGGCAAGTGCGGGAAGGTGCCGGGTGTGTGGTCGCAAAGGCATCGAGTGACCGGACGCAGGAGCGGCTACACTGGGGGCCTGTACGGGTGCATCAGATTCCGCACCCCGCTTCTAGAGTGTGGTCTGTCGTTTTAAAACTGGAAGTAAATGAAAAGTGCATCAGATTTGGCCCGGAGACCTCTCTGTGTCTGAGCCTCGGCGCTGTCGTGGACGTGGAGCTGCTGCCATTGACGCAGGACGAGTTCTGGGCCTGACTGCTCGGCCCTGGCCCCCGACGACTCCTCAGTTCCTCCCCCACTGAGCGCTGCTGCGATCGGCTCGTGGACGCGTGTGTCAGCCAATGCCCGGGCCGGGGCCGTGGCTGAGGGAGCCCGAGCGTGGTTCACCAGCTGTCGCTGCCTCTTTGGGCCCAGGACACTGCGGGCCAGGTCCATGCGAGGGCAGCGGCGTGCTGCGGGCTTATTCCCGGGCTCCTTGGGTGGGGGGACCCCACAGGTTTGGGGGGTTCTTCTGTAGCTGCAGCAGGCCCTGGCCTGTTATGAGCCCTCGAGGAAGCTGGCTACTTCCTGGCCTCATTTTCAGCATTTGGGATCCTGTGGTTCAAGACGTTGCTTTGTACTTGCTCAGGTAGGGCGCTGGGCCACCTGGTGTGAAAGTGGCCGCAGGCTGTTTGCGGGTGCAGCCTCCTGCCTCCAAGCGTGTGCTCCCCGCTGGGCTGCCGGGTTCCCAGGTTAGCCCGGCGCTCATGGAAACCTCCAGGAACGCGCCCGTCCCTCAGCGGAGTCCCCGCTGTGCTCTCCCCTGGTGGAGGGGCTGCTCTTGCAGGAGACGAAGGACCGCCTGTTGCCTCCCAAGTGTTTCCACCTCGCCCCCGCCCCTCCTCGCTCCCGAATCTTCCCGTAGGAGGGTAGGAGCAAGCGATCCACTTCCTTTCAGCCCAGAGTAGCCAGAAATCGTGCCCCTCGGCTCAGGAGCAAAAGCCGAGGTGGGATGTCGAGTCTCACGGGAGGATGGGACTTGCGGGGCCTGGGAGCAGGAAGAGCCTGCTCACCCGTTTACGGGAGGGAAGGTGGGCCCAGAGTTTAAGGTGGCCTGAGCTCCCCTGGCGAACGGACAGACGAGCCAGGATCGGAAACCAGTTCGGGTTCATTTCCTGCGTTATGCTCCACTTCTCCAAACCTGAGGCCTCGCTGGCCTGGATTCTGTTTCCTGCCTCAGCAGATGAGCTGCTTTGGGACCCTTAGAAGTGACGGGCTGCGGGGGCTGGGGCAGGGCCGTCCCTCTGTAGCAGGAGGGACCGGCTTCGTCCGCCTCTGTCTCCCGGCCTTGACTCTGCTGCTCTTAGCTGTCCCCTGGGGCGCCCTTAGCCTCTCCTGAGAGCCATGTGGAAACTGGCGTCTCCGGGGAAGGGCGGGGTGTCCGGGGTGCAGCGGCGGGCTTCCTGGGGGACGGCCTGCAGCCACGTCCGTCCCGCCAGGCCAGCGACAGGAACGGGTCCAGGAAGATCTCAGGCCTTTTCCCCATTGCAGCTTTCCTTCCTGGCGGCTCTCCCATCTGCATCTGCCCCGGAGTTGGGAGCAGACGGCGGGCGCTAGCGTCACGGTCCAGACAGAGGCGTGTTCCTGGGGTCTGTCCTAAAAATGGGGGCCAGCTGAGGAGGCATCTTTGTAAATCACTTTGCTATGACTTGGAGCATCTTCTCTGAAAACTGGTCCGTGACTATTACAGATGTGCTCTGTGCGCATATCGTAGCCCTTCTCTAATTTTAAG